TCATTTAGAGGCCCCCATGTTTATGAAAACTTATTTTTGTAAACGAATTATTTACAGACTTTATAAACTGTCATATTTTCCACAACGAGTTCTGCAAACTCATCATATTCGCGTGTGTGCAATTGCATATGATTGAAAACGTACATGATGTTGTGTATGACATAGAATTATGTATTCATATTATTACTTGTATATTTATGTAGATTTTATGCATGCTAGTTATCGAGTTATAGGTGTGTGTGACACACATATATATATAAATATATAATTGTAGGTTGTGCAACGTGTGTATATATGAGTAAACAATTTGTATGTGTCTACTTTTGGTATATATATATATGTCTTGTGCGAATATACAAGTATATTTATGTTGTATGTGTTGTGCGTTTATATGCGCATTTATATACACTTATTTGAGTTGACAACTGTGCGTATAAAGTGTATGTATTGTGCTTATTGTGTAGGCTTATTGATATATAATATGTATATGATATATAAGTAGGTGCATGTCTGAATAAGTCATTTAGTGGCGAACCTAATTAGTAAAAGAATAACATAAAAATCTTTAAAAAACGAGAAAATCTATTTAACCAGTATCACTGAGGGGTGGGTGGGTGTGTAGTCTTTTGGCATGTGATTGTGGTGAACCCTAACCATGGATACAACTTTAGCCAGACGTGGCGAAATGATAAGAACTGTGAACTGAAGACTATATACTGCAAACTATAAACTATAGACTGAATTGTAACGGATCTATGTGGTAAAGAGGATCCTTACTGTTCTTGTTGATACCAGTAGAAATGACATCACGCGATGAAACTATTTTTAATAAGATATAAACTTTTAGGAATGAATAGAAAGTTATGGATAAAGTTTATGATACTAAAATACTGAATTAATATTAATTGAATTACTTATTGCTTAAATTGTGATACTGAATACTGAATTGTACTATTTATGAAGCCGTTAATGCCCTGAGTTATAATAATGAAATGAGGAATTCTGAATATTTATTGAATAAACTGATTTAGAAGATCTGGTGATTGAGTGTGTGCATGTCTTTGTTGTGGGCACTATCCATTTTTCTTACTGAGTCCATGAAACTCACCCCAATTCGCATCCCTGAATGCAAATTAGTCCAAATCAAGAATAAGTTTAAAGTCGAAAAAAGACTTTGAAGAATCTTTAGTTATAATAAGAGTTCGTCTTTTAAAATCAGTTTAATTATATTATAGCGATGTAATATAAAAGATCTTGTAAGTCTCATGTTTTATAATTTCGTATATGGATAATTGAATCTTAGGTTTTTATTTATTGTTGCGTAAATTTATCAGATTATATGTGTGAAATAGCGCTCATTTTTCTACAGAGAAAACGGGTCGTTACATATAAAAATAATTATAAATTAAAAAAAAATATATTTAAATAGCATATTTATAATTATAAAAATGTGAATAATGGTTTGTATTTGAGAGGTTTTAAGTGTAATTAAAAATAATTTTATAAAAAATATTCATTAATGGTGTGTTTTATAAAAAATTTTGTAAAACAACAATCTATTATATTATATTTTATTATTAATTGTATATATTCAAAAAATATAGAATTAATGTGAAAATTATAGTAGGTGTCAAGCCTTAGAAGCTCGTGGACCAAGCCCAACCAGAGACGGCCCTGTCCTCTTGAATCTGGTGTTTTGACGGCAAATCCCGAAGCAGAGTGGGATGTGAAAACAAAGAAAAGAATGGTTTTGCTTCTAGCTTCGTGTCCCTCTAATCTTCTGGTACTATCGTCGTTCCCAATCTTCCTATTTTGTTTTTCACTTATAATCATTCTTATGGAATTTTCTTTGATATATATTTTTGGATAAGAACATATTATCATCATCATCGCTAGTTGCGGTTGGCATGAGATTGATTGTAGCCCTTGTTCCTTGTTCTTTTGTACTTGGCAGGACTTAAATGGAAGCAGAAGAAGAGAAATTGTATTTCCATGCTCAAGCACTCTCAAAACCAGAGTTGAACTGGGAAGTAGTATTTTTGGTCGGAAGATTGAAAATAAATACAGAGGAAGCGTAAAGGCCTTTTTCTTTAATCCCTTCAAAGAACCTATTCTTAAGGATGCTATCAAGGTACTAGTTGTGCTCAAAAGGCTAAGAATAATATATCTTCCGGTTTCCTATATTCTTGTCTTGTTTTAAGTTTTGGAATGTCTTTGCTAGCAGGATTTTGTTTTTTCCAGTATGATAATTTGAAAATTTGAAGAGAGTGCACAGCCCTTTTAAAAGTAATCTTAGGGTATGTTTGGAATGATTTTTTTTCTTTTTAGAATTTCATTTGGAAATGTACATTTAGCTCCGTCAGTGGACTTCCAAAAATTAACTTCTGTGTCCATGTCATGTAGTCAAGAAAACATGTGAAGAACAGGGAGAAGGTAAGATTTAGGGAAGAGGCTATATGCTGTATAGAGTTTCACAAATTATGATGATTATACAGGACCATCCCTTTCTTAATTGACATATAGAAACATAATAATAGCAGTTGAATAATGTTTTTATTTGAAGGTCTTAGATAAATATAAGAAGTATTTTTTTAGAGTACATTCACCAGGCAACAAGAGGGTATTGTGATGCCATCTATAAAGAAAAGGCATTTACTCAAAGATTTCGCAAGTTGGGAATTCCATTACTTACAGGAGTCCTTAAAGAGGCATCTCTCATGTTTATGTATCTTTTCACCCGAATGGGAGATGGACTGCATTCTATTCTGGGAACACGTTTGACTGGGTTAATCTTG